CCAGCCATGGAGACGTGCTTCAAATGCACTTTTCATTGCAATCTTGGCTTTTGTCGGCCTCAGTGCAAAAAGATTCGACCTTGGCATGTCCCAAATCAGTGTACACCACCACCGTGGCCCAGATTTGCGTGGAGGAGAGGCGGAGAATCACCACCCAGCTCCCTGGCTCGAGAAAGGAATTCGCGGAAAACATCACATAGTTTGTGGAAGTGGACAGCTGATGAATCGCATAGCAAGAAAGCATAAGAAAACATATTATATGGAAAGCATCCTTCCTTGGTTGCCGATTTTGTCTATGTACTCCAGGCAAGCCTTGCAAAATCCATGGTGTTGGCCTTGGATTGTGGATGTGAATTCTTGTGATTTGCTTGCAAAGTGTTCAGTAATGAATGTTACTGTACTGTAATTCTGCCATTTCCAACTTGTTTCTGGGGTCCACCCGTTCCTGCCATTCTTAGTAGCGTCCTTGTTCCTAGGGTCCAACCCGTTGACCCTTGAAACGTCGGTTTCACAAACCTTGCCAACTACGTGGTGCACCGACAAGGCTGGCGCAGTTTGGAGCACGGCTGCGGCATCGCAAGGTGGACTGTGACAATTCCAAGTGGATGCGCGGTGAAAACCACGGTGCAAAGTGGGCATGTTAAGCACTGAAGCTTTGACATTCAGTCCGACAACAGATGGACCTCCCTCGGCCAGGTTTCGTGTGATGGTCAGGCAGCTTGCAGTTGAAGGGAGGATTCAAGGAGGTAACTTGAAGGGGCGATTCCAACAGAACAATCCACCGAAGCCGTGAGTCCTTCTTCGCCTCCCAATCGCGGAAGAACACAAAAAAACAGAAAAGCAATGCCTTTGACTGCGACCGTTTGACATGCGATGTTGAGGAGTTTGGTGGTCTATGTTTGACTGTGTGTTTGTCCGACTGTGACCATCCGGAAGAGGCGATACTGTTTGGCAATGGAGGTAGGAATGTGTGTTCCTCTACTCTACTACATTCTTTTGTGGAAGCACCGATCACTTTCAAAAGCCCATGAAGCCTAAGTACTTGGACACTGACATTGTACGCATTTGGGGAGTAGTGAGTAGTGTCAGAAGGCATTGGACAAGCCCTAGCTGATTTCAAGGCAAAGATGTGTGTTTTCATTTTTCTCAAACTCAAAGCATTGCAACTGACTTCCAGTTTATTTGACCGTGCTGGCCAACAATGGCTAGTGTAATGCTGCTGGACGCGAACAAGCTCCACCATCCTTTTTACACAAGGGCTTTGGCTTTATGTGTTCAAATCCCACGATGTCAAAGGTGCACATGATATTTGTTGTTGAATTGTGCTCAGGGTTCTCGACAGAGCTCCAAGCTCTCGGCTCGGCACTTATATTGTTGGATTCTTCGCCTTGGAAACTCAGTCAGAGGAGATTGTTTGTTCATGTTTGTTCCATAATTCAGATGTCTAATATGGTCAACATAGACCACCATAGAGATATTATGCAGGCTGTTGCTGGAAAGTACGGGTAGGGACTGTTGGTCTTGAATCTCGCGATGCGCCTTTCCAAGACAAAGCACACTGCAAACCGCTTAATTAGTGAGGCTTCAAAGGCCGTTTATGTTACCCTGATTTAGTTAAGTTTCCCTCAAAATCTAGGAACCAAATCATCAGTGCGAGCGCTTCTTCAAGGAAGCTTCCCCCGCGGCCTACCCCCCAATGTTAAAAAAACACACATATGTAGATTATTCAAATCGTTGAATTCACGATTTGTTTGACACATTCGATTCCTGTATTTTGCCTTGCCAAGGCTGGCGGGACTGGAAACGCGGCAGGGAAGCCAATGCACACTTGTGTTAGTCGGATACTGGAAGCGCTTCAAGTTGGAAGCGATCGTGGCAAGTTGGCGCTTGGAACCACAAACCTTGGCACATTGATATCATGATATCACTGATATCCATGTGATGTACCATGTGCGTTTCTTGCAGTGGATTTGCATGCTTGCCATATGTGGGCACATAGCTACCCGCGATGGGCCATTTACTGTATCCTACGTGCACACTTCTGGCGCCTTACCCGATGAAATTTCATCTCCGCTTTGAACGACATGTGAATGCTTAAGATCCAGGCCCTGCTATGGCTAGGATCACCACGGGCTACCAGGGACCTGCCGACCTGCCCACAGCCACAAAGCCCACCGAAGCTTTTGCAAGAATCTGTTTGGTTTTCAGATCGACTGCTTTTTGTTGCGTACTGTCTACTTGTAGTAGTTGGACATGATGGGTGTCGACTTTGTTGTACCATGTTTGGCCCCAAGGCTGACAAGTTCCAAAGCCAGTACTGTATAATCTGTATACTGTATATATACTTGTACATGATTCATGATGTGTTTTGCCACCCATGCATGCATTGGATTGCTAATCACCCTGTATTGCGTTCGCTTAGTGTACAGGAGGCTCGAAAGGGTTTGCCAGTCGGCCGTGCGGCAGGCCGTGCACTTCTCAGTTTGTAAGCAATAGGAAAGCCGTGCGAACTGGGTGCAGAAAGCTTCCAAAGTGATTGATGAGTTGAGTTGATCAGCATTGTCACCGTGCAACTCAGTGCTGGCAATTCCTTCAGTTTTTGCTGAAGAATCCTCTCGATCTCAAGGTGAGCAAACAGAATGGCTTATCCCCGTGATGAAGCTCATTGGAATGCGGTGGCTGACTCGACAAAGGCAGATACAACACGGTTTCAAAATGTGTCAAATCATACGGTACTTTCATGTCCTTCCGCGGGGTAGCTGATAAGCAGCCGAAATGACAACGGTAGCTACATAAAAATACATCGCATACCAGACTTTCGCATTTGGCCAAACGGGCTGGCAAATGCAGGCCCTGAACAGTGCTTGCGATCCTGCATTCGTGCGGCGGTTGGCTTTTCAACCTCCACGTTGGGGTGCCACAGGCCGTTGCACGTTTGGAAACAGCGTGATTGTAAACCAAATCATCCCTGAATCAAGAATACTTAAAATACTGTAGATTATATGATATGCGGGTTGGCTGATGAAAAATCCAGCAAGAGAGGTTTTTTGCTAGACTTGTTCCTCCAGGTGTTGTACTCCGCCGCACTCGGATTCCTCTCGCTTCATAAGGTGTGCCCATCTCCCCTCAGGAGATCGCCTTACCAGGCTGGTGCGGGTTGTTGCGTTGTTGTTGCCCGGGGGGGGCTTAGGCCGAGGTAGCTAGTAGAGACGAGGTAGCTACTACCTTACTTAAGCGTCTTCAAGGAAGCTTCCCCCGCCTGAGGGCGGGGGGAGCTTCCTTGAAAGAGCGCTCGCACTAATGATTTGGTTCCTGGATTTTCTGGAAAATAACCTATATATAACTTGGGACCAAGGTTTGAAGAAGATAGACAGAGGATGATGGAGACATGTAATAGACCTGTAAATAAGCTTCTCGTTTTGTCGGAAATCCACTTGCCAGGGGTCCCAGCTGAAACCCTGCGAAGAGGTGCGGGCCGCAGCAGCTAGTGGGAGATAATGTTTGCATGACTTGCTTCGACCTGCTTTGTTCCTGTGATGTGCTAACTTGGTAGGTCCTGGTAGGTTTGGTTTCCACCGGTTGGGAATATGTTGACAATATTTGTGGAGAACCTTTGCATGTGTTTGCTGCTTGTCATGGCTTAGAATGGTCAGCAAAGGAGGGCCCACGTTGGTTCAGACTCTCATCGGTGGCCCAATGGCCGGAAGGCACATCGTCAAGACAGTCGAGCACTTGGTCTTCGACAAGAATCAATTGCCAGTTCGGTTCATGTGAATTTGCTTACTGTTTCTTAATTTAAAGCCAGCCTGAGAGGAAGATTTGGGCCCGCATAAATAGAGTTGGTATACAGTAGTTTGGTGACGTTGCTTTCAGAAAGTGCAAGGCAAGGAGTCCAGCAGACGTGACATAGCTGTAAGATGCTGTAAGAACAGACAGAGGTTACACACATAAAGACGTATGTACCGTATTCTCGCTCCCGACTTGCTCACCAAAATTATGCTCCGGGTTGGTAACAAATGTAATATAGCAAATATATATATATACAGTATATATATATATAATACTCTAACTTCACTGCCCAGTCGTTTAGAGCGGAGCATTGCCTTGTGGCCTAAAGCATTGCCTTGTTTCCGATCTAAGCTGCATGTCGTGCGTACTTGCTTACTTCGTCAGTCAATGAGTTCAGACATGCAACTAGAATTGACTTGACACATTGACACCTTGTGGTATCATCACGCTTGTCTTCGAGCATTGCTCTTCCCATAGTTGGGCAATACGCCATCAATTCACTCGAACTCACCATTCTTCGTACCTGCAAACTCCTAGCCTGAAGACTGAAGAGCACCACTTTCCAGGGCTGAAGAGCTTCCCAGTCTGCTTACAAGTGCAGGCCCAGCAGGCCCGAATGTTTGCGACAGCCACTTTTGTTTGGTTGGGAGAACACGGCTTGGGGGCTGCACACTAGTTCGTGAGGAGCGATAGTAATTATGAGATGTGGCTACTGGCAACAATGGCTCTAGATCTCTAGAACCCGAAAAGAGATTCTCACTCGAATTGTCACCTCACGATCTTGCGAGATGTTGCGAGTCGGCAGATCAAACACAGGTTGAGCATATGAGCCAGGTCTTTCCATTTGATGCACCAAGTTTGGAAGTGTTCACACAAATGACGAGCCTCAGCCAAATAAGCAAAAGGCAACTCAAAGAAGTTGCACATTTGATGCCTGATTCCTGCTAGTACCATACAGTAGTAGCAATGGCTTCCAACCTACTGACGATGGCCTCCACCCTAGTAGCAATGGTCTCCAACCTACTAGCAATGGCCTCCAACCTTTTAGCGATGGCCTCCACCCTAGTAATGGCCTCCAACCTACAAGTAGCAATGGCCTCCAACCTGCTAGCAATGGCCTCCATCCTACCCTGTTTTTCGAGTGGACTGTGACGTTTCAATCCGATATCGCGTTATTGGTCTGAAAGCCATGGCGGCATCACCGCGGCACCATGGGCAAGGTGACCAAAGCAGTGGCCCCAGCGAGTCGATGAACACCAATCGACTGGTAGGAGCTGCAAAAGCCACAGTGAGGCCTACAGGTACTCTGCTTGCCTTGAAAGAAGATTTTGACAAATGTTCACCGCCTGACCGCCTTGACCACATCAATCGAAACGTCCATTCTACATCTTAAAAGCTGGAGGCCTCCTTGCGAGATCAGCCATGGGACGTCAGGACCTTAGCTGGTAGACCATGGTCAGTAAAGGTATTACCATTACGCATGGTTCGCACCGCCGCGGGGTTTAGGGTTCTCGGTTTCCGCGGTTATTCGCATGGAATTGCTGAAGCCCGTAGTCTCGATCATTGTTGAACGGAGTAATATGTGTTTTGTCTTTGAAGTGCAATTGTCCTAATCTATCCTAATCTTATAAGATCTCCGTCATGCGATCCCCAAAACCAACGCGAAAGCCTGAAACATTCGGGGGGCGGGCCTTTCTCTGTTTTTTGTAATATATATATATATATACATAATATATCATATATCATATATATCTTTGTGTGTTATCGGAAAAAGCATGGTGTTCCCCAAATTGCTCTAGGACTCTAGGCCCTAGAATTGTTATGGGGGACTATAACCATATGATGCCATATACATGTGCCTTTTTGTTTTTTTAAACATATGTTTGTAGCTTTTTAGCCCCTGTCTTGGTTCTTAAAACCACCACCACCACCACCACCACGACCACGACCACCTGGACCCCGACGAGGACATTTGCCGATTCAGAAACCAACCGATCAGGAAACTACGAACTACGATCCAGAAACCAAAACGGACGATTCAGCAACTACGATTCAGAAACCAAATGGGCCGAAACCAAGCGAGTCCCGATTCAGAAACCCAAACAGCGATTCAGAAACCAAAACAGCCGATGCAGAAACCAAGTGAGACTATTCAGAAACCAAGCCGCAGGAGGAGTGTGGGGTGGGGGGGTGGGGGGGACCATGGCCAAGATAATAACGTTCGATGTGGCTGCAAAAAGGCCTTTTGCATTTATTCAAGCAGGAATATGTTTGTATTTACAGCATGTGGCTGAATAGAGTGATGGCCAAGACAATAACGTCCCATGTGATTGCAAAGGGCTTAAGAATATGCCGGTATTATTTACAGCATATGGTTGGAAACAATCGGTTGGATTCTGCATCGTAGTTTCCTGATCGTTGTGTTTACAGCGGAGTGTAGTACGCTGCCCGTAAAAGTGACGACATCTTCACGAGAACCTGTAAGCTAGAAAGATGAAGATGAACTTGTTGAGGGTTCTGCCATGCTAGTTTGGCATGGTTCGAACAAAAGCTTTTGTTGGTCTGAGAAAAACATGTGACCACCAAGAGAGACACACGCACGGTCTTGGTTGTCTTGTGATGAAATGCTACTACTACTACTACTACTACTACTACTACTACTACTATCTACTACTACTATCTACTACTACTGCCACTGCCACTGCCACTACTACTGCCACTACTACTAACACAACCACTACCCAGATCATCAGTTTCTTCTTTTGGAAATGTTGTATTGCTTTGGTTTCATGGTTTTGGTTTCCAAATCAGTGGTTTTGGTCACGGAATCAGCGGTTTTGGTTGCCGAGTCAGCGGCTTTGGTTACTGAATCAGGGGATTTTGGTTACCAAATAAGCGGTTTTGGTTACCGAATCAGCGGTTTTTGGTTATCGAATCAACGGTTTTGGTTACCGAATCAGCGCTTTTGGTTACCAAATCATAGTTACCGAATCAGACGTCGACACGACGACGACGACCACTATCACTAACCGCTGCCATTACCTGCTATCACTACGTCTACGACTATGACGGCGACTGTCACTCCTACTATTACTGTTCCTCCTTCTTGTTCTACTGCTACTGCTATTGCTACTACTACGGCGGCGACTATTACTACTACGACGACGAGGACGATTTCTCCTACTACGGGGCGCCTTCACCATCGAGGTTTCCCCAATTCTTTGTCAGGGGAGGTGCTGACAAATCAAGATCCAACATTACAGCGACAAGGTTACAGGGAGCATTAAACTCAGCCGGCTGAAGAATCTGAATGGCTGAGGAAACTACATTGAACAACTTGTGCACCAAAGCTTCGAGGTATCACGAGCATGCACCCGAAGCCTCAAGCCGAAACGTTCGAGCCAAGACATGCCAAATCATGCGAACAACACCGGTTCCAAATCATGGCTTTCTTCGGCTCGACACACTGGACATGTGAGCACACGTGCCATGCAGATATGCCAAGGTCATTCTGCAGGTGCTGCAGGATGCCCAGGCTGTTATATGTTGCTTTCCTTGCAGGCATTTCTATGCATGTCTTGTATGGCCTATTTTGTTGAATGGTCGGAATTGTAACAGGTGCCCTCAGTGGCGCTGCTGGGGGCTGCAGTAGATGCTCTAGGGCGTCAAAGACGCTGGCAGACCGTTGTCGAGCTACTACACTGCATGGAAGAGGCACGACCCCCTGTATTCAAGCAGTTCAGTGAAATTAGAGTGGCAACATTTGTTTGTGGCTTCCCTCTCAACACCACGCATGGATTGTGTTGTGTTGATTCTGTAATATTCTGTACCAATTGTTCTTTGGGTTGCGCAACAATGCGCAACACATGTTTAAGCATAAGGCATAGGTGTTGAGTAAAAGCACTGAGACCTTCGTAGAGTAGCAGACCATGTAAGTCAGTCCGAATGGAGATGGAGTACCTGTTTGCAAATGAGAACTTGCCAGGCCACTTTGCAGGCAAACATTGTCCTGCTGAACGCTGCACTCAACTCTGTAAAAGCAGGTGGTTGGCTTGTGGCCCTCTCGCTGAAGATGAGTATGGACCGCCTTGAAGGGTGGCCAGCTGGTTCCCATTGCCATGTTGTTTCAACATGATATGTGTTTCTTCAAGGCTGCGGCACTGCATGTTCTTTGTGTGGGTTCAGAAGTCTTGTTTCCAGCCGTTCAATTCAACCATGCATGCTGAACATGTTGACGATTCTGACTGTATCAGTGCACACTGCAAGTCTCGCTCGCCAATTTGTTGATTGATTTTGAGCCTACTTGTAGGACCTGAGAGGCTCACAGCCCGACGTCATCACGTGGAACACGACTCATAGCTGCAGAGCGGCAGCCTCTTCATTTACTTGCTTAGATATGCTGGGATCAGGAAATGTACGGAGAGGTGTGGGTAGCGTGATGCGTTTGAAGGCAGTGGTGACATGTGGTGTGAGTATTCTTACACAATCCTAGGCTCAGAGATCATGCAAAGCAAGATGATGTAAGATGGAGGAACATGACATGAAGACATGCGACAAGTGACTAGTACTTGATTTGCTGTCCCCCAGGCTTGCCAATGGGTGCATGAAAAGCAGCGGTTGGGAGGTGGCTACGCGATGCCTGACTGCTTTGCAGAGGCAAAGCGCAGCCATTAAAATTCAATAAAATTCAGCCTGCCAGAAACACTAAAGATGCTGAAGCTGGATTGTTTGGGTTTCCGGGTGTGCTTTACTTTCTGCTAGGCCTAACCTGGAGCCCAGCGTTGCCAGCTTCGGAGCAGTCAGCGCTGGTGGTCCTTGGCGACGCTCTGTGGCGCTGAGTGATGTCATGCCGCACAGCATGCAACAAAAGTGTGCTAAGCTTGCTACGAGTTAGCTTCTTGTTACTAGTAGCGAGGCCAGGACCCCCTAGTAGCGTCCTTGCTCCTAGCTCTAGCTGGTGCAGATGATTCAGATGTCTTGGTGGGGTTGGGATTTAGACTTTTGAGGCTGCACAGCGGCTTGCATGCAAATCGCATTAGCAACAACGCCGTGCTGGGTGTTTGCGTAACTTGGGATGCGCTGGCTGCATGCGAATGGTTTGTCCGCCAAAATACGTGTGTTAAGGTCTCACGCTTGAGGACGTGTGTTGCCGCAGCGGAGGGATCAGTTTACCCACACCGGTTTTGCATTGCTCTTGGAGTCGCTCACGGAGACACCGAGTCATTGTTCGCTTCGAATCTCCCTTCCGAGCCATGGAGCGGCCGCCGTTCGGGCCGTTGGGGCCATTAGGGTTGGTGCCCGGCCTCGTTTGGGATGCAGAAAGGCAGCGCTACTTCTGCCATCGCCCTGTTTGCTCCGACGAGCCTCCAGTGTCCGAGACACCCTCCACGAGCTCGGCTCGTGTTGAAGAGGTCCCCGTTCATGAGGCTGTGGCTTCAAGTTTGTCAAAGACTGTGAGACGAAAGCGGGGGCGAAGCCCTACCACATCCTTTAGTAAACCTGATTCTGAAGATGGTGGCCCAGCCACTACCTCCCCTACTTCTTCACAAAGGTCCCAACTTTGTGCAGTATGCTTGGACGGATTTAAAGAGAACCAAAAGGTGTTTCAACTTCCGTGCAAGCATTTTTACCATGAGCAGTGCTTGAAGCCATGGATGCAAAAGACAGGAAGTTGTCCGAGCTGCCGGTCTGCGATCGATGTAGCTTTCCAGACTGCGCAGAAAGCTGCCCATGACAGATGGCAAGAACAATGAAGCAGTTTCTCGTCCAGGAACTTGAACCTGCTCAAGCAGAGCATGTCTCCGAGTGCATCCACCGATTGTGGGACGATGAGCTTGCGAGTGACAACGACTTGTCTCCACGAAACGGCAAAAGCATGGCCACGTTGCCAGGACATGTCAGGACAAGCCTTTTTGCTTTTGTTCGGCTTCACTTTTGGTGCAGAAAAGGAGCCCAGGTATTTCACCATGGACATCGCTGGACGATCTTGGGCGCCTGGCGACACATTCCTTCCAAGATGTCAATCAAGTGGATCAAAACTGCGGAAGCTGTCGAAGTCTGAAAGTTCGAGCTTTGACCGTGGGCATCGCCACAACTAGTGTCAGAATGTGTCAGACAGGGGCATGCTTTGCCACACTGCCCTGCAGCCCTGCAGCAGGAAACCAAAAAATGCGTCCAGAATTCCACATCCATGTTTGCCGTGTCATTGGACAAACATGAGCTTTAAGAAATAAAAGCACATCTCAGGCAAGCTTTGGACAATGGACCTTGTGCTTGGACCAGTTGGGCCACTTGAAGCACATGACCCAGCCGGATGTTTTGAGCTTCAGTGCGGTGAGTAGCGCTTCAGAAGCTTGGACATCAGTGTTTTCATTGACTGTTTGCGTTTTTTGCTTCAGAAGCTGCTGAGATTTTGGATGAAGTTTTACATGGTTACATGATGTTACATGGTTTGATAAGGTGATTGTAGATTAATGTTTAGGTTTAGTGCGTGGGCCAGCCAACTAGCTTCATTCAAGTTGTGCTACAAGGAAAGCTAATACGTTATCGCACCTTGCTTGGGCAGTGGGTAGCATGACCGCGGACTATTGAGGAGAAGGGTCATCAATGGCTGCCAGCACTTCGAGTTTTACATCAATCGATCATTGAGGTGAGGACAATAGTGCCTGCTAGTGTAACAGGGAGCTACTTTGGGCGTTGTACAGTGGGTGTTGCTAAAGCTCAGCTGTTTGTGCAAAGGCTATCCCCCAAGATGCTGCTTTGCGGAGCACGGTACTGAGCTCGTGTGAGAAGTGCCACAGGCGTTGGGCAAGACGCTTGTTGCACAATGTGGCACAAGCATTTGGCACTTTTGCAGCCAGTGTAGAATGTATAAATATATTTATATATATATAATGTATATGAATGGAAACTATTGTAAACTAGATGTAGCATGATGCAATTACGAGATTGAGGGTGCTTCCGTTGTTATGTTGAACCTTTTCCCAAAATGATCCTTCAACCGTGAACTTTAACTGCAGCTCCCTTTTCTACCTTTTCTGCCGGAAGGGTCCTCCACTCCAGCGCAGGTGGAGGATGGCATTGTCGCTGCTCCACACAAGCCGCCAGGAGAGTAGAAACAACTTCAAACAAACTGGGCTTGTGAAGCGGGGTACAGGGATGTTGCTGATTGTTGCTCCACCTGATGACTTGCGGCTGAGTTTATGTGCACCACAAGGCCTTTGCACATTATTTTCACTCATGACTCCTGACGCGAAAGCTGTACCGTTTGTTTTCCCAATGCAAAAAGAGTGTGCAGTGTTCACTCCACTTTCAGACCACCAAATTGATGGCATTTCTATAGTCCCATGGCGGGTCGACTTAAACATGAAATCCGGGAATGCACCGTGCTATCCTGCTGTACCAACAGCTAGCAGAAATTAATACCGCATACAGTACTGAGCGTCAGAATTTGTTTGAATCTCCATTGGCCTTCCTCCGTCTCCAAACTCCCCACCATGTCTGAAGTATGCCTCGGAAGTCCTTTGTGCACTGTGTTGGTCAAGGAGCACTTTTACTTGGACCTCATTAACTTCAACGCAGTTCCTTATCTCAGCTTCACTGCTTTCTCGTTTCATGGGCAGCTTTGACTAGCGAGCACCTAGAGCACATGCGAGAGCCAGATTCGCCGTGCATGTTTCACCCCTCGAGAATCTTGGCATGCGCCGGATGGCCATATTTTGTTGCCCTTCTGGCAAGCTGCACTGTTCCAGTTCTATGTCATACATATGTACATATGTATTTGTGATGCATGCTGTGCAATAGTATGCAATAGTTGCATCTATTGCATGTACATTATTGTATTACAATATACTATGTAGTTGACGGTGATAATTGCCACCCCTTGTTCGTTCAGTAAAGCCTATTCTTTGCGGGAAACTCCAGGTGATCAGCTCTTGCGAGAAAGATGGCCAATGGCAGTGGGCCTTGCAGTTGCTTCAAGAGATCCGACGCTCCATGCTGCGACCGAACGCAGCTTTGATCCTTGATCCACATGTTTGGGTTGTTTGGTGCCTCACAGAAGGATGGAAGGTTGGTTGGATGGATTGTTGGATGTTCAATGGGTTCAGAGTCACCACACCTTCCACAGGAGTCACATGCAAATACTGTAAGCCACTGTGAGCCCAGGTAGTATCCTACAATGCAGCGATAAGTGCTTGTGAGAAAGGAGGCGGGTAAACTGCGTAAGCTGGGCTTAGAGGGATTCTCTAATGCTGTAATGGGATTCTTTAGGTGTTCATAATCTCACAAGAACCGCCCACGTGTCAAATGCCTTCGCGGCTTGCAACATGCACTCACGTGCAGGTTTCTGTGTGTGTGTGTGCTGTGCTGTGTTTTCTTTGTGTTTGTGTGTGTTTTGGGAGGTTGGTCAACAGGCTGCTGCATGATTTGGCAGGAATTTTACCAGCTTCCAAAACTCAATGAGAAAGGGGAACAAGCTTAAGATCTCAGTAGGAGCAAGGGCATTGCTATTAGCTGGTGGCTTGAGATCTCGTGCACTTGTGGTTTGCTGGCACCAGGGGCTTGGGAGTATTCCGTGGAGGTTCTGAAAGAGATTGCCAGACAGGCACCGGCCTGTAGTGTTCCAGAAACCAGCATTTGAGGCATTGGACAGTTTATATACTCAAGTGGCAGTAGTTTTTGGTCCTTAACCAGCTGTTTCACTTGCTTCAGCCTTAGGGCCTTGGAGAATAAGAACGTCAGAGGAATGCAGACTCCTGCAAAGAGAGAGAGAGAGAGAGGGCAGAAAGAGCGAGCCAGAGGAACTGAGAGTATGTTGAGTGCAGCCACAGTGTGATCCATTCAGAGCTCAACACTTGAGCTGCACAGGCACTTCGGCCAGACGGCACCAGCTTTAACGGGGCGATTAGCGCAGCAGCACGGGGACGCCAATGGCAGGTGACCGGCACAGACGTGCTGCTTCATTATGTAATCTTCATTCGTCTTGGATGGACTGCTGGTGCACTGCACATTCACGGTCTATGTCTATGCTGTTCATTGGTTCTACTCCCAGACCCAATCTGAGTTGGGTAAATTAATTAGTCGTTGCTGGATTTCGTCGCGTGGGGTTCTCATTTGTTTCATCGCAAGCAAGCGTAAGTCATTTGCAGACATGGGTACAGTAATTCATGTCGCTGCCGGTTCTGCAGGTTGCATAAGGGTAATGGACTAGCAACTGCAGGACTTTGTAGGGCTTGGTAGCATGACCTGAACCAAAGGCATGCATCATTGTGGTATGGTAGTATAGTACTTATAGTAATTACTGTATATATAGTGCAAAGGGCCTTTGTCACTAGTAGCGTTCTTGCTCCTGGTAGTAAGGCCAGGAGCTCCTAGTAGCGTCCTTGTTCCTAGTAGCGATGCCAGGAGCCCCTAGTAGCGATGCCCCTTGTTTGGTATGCTGCGACACCTGCAATTTATTGCATTCCGCTGCGGCATCAACTTTCCCAGCCCTGTGCCGATGGATTTGCGGCCAGGTCTCGTTGGAGCTTTTCCATGCCGAAGCAGGCGCAGAGTTTTAAGCAACCAGTGGTCCAGTGGTTCTGTAAAAGGAAGGTTGTTTGGTGATTGGAGCTGCCTGTTTGGTTTGGAGTTGCTTTTCCTGCAGTAGCTGCCCTAGCCAAGTGGTTGGACCTCAGGAGCTTTGAAACCTGATCTTGTGGCATTTGGAGCAGCAGTCACCGCTTGCGAGGCCTACCCAGCCTCTTGCAAGTTATACAGAAGACATGTCAACTCTCGCATGTTTCAAGGACTGTTTCAAGGTTGAGCCCGCTCTTGGCAACGAGAAGCCTAAATTAAAAATCTAAGTCCCAATGCTTTGGCAACATGCAGATTGAGCAATGGGTGGATACCGAAATAATATGACTTCACAGTGAAAATTGTATGTATCAATATATTTCAATATGCATAATTCAAATATATACATTAAAGATATTATATTATAGCCATATTAAGTGTCCCTAAAGATCTAGGTACCAAAACGAGGACTTCTTCAAGGAAGCTCCCCCAGCCCTCAGGCGAGGGAGCTTCCTTGAAGAAGCGTGAGCTATCCTGCATCCTAGCTAGGAGCTTCCTGTTGCTAGTAGCTTAACTCCTTAATTAAGTGGGCACCTGCTTAATCAAGCAAAGAAGCAGTCAGGGCCGCGGACTAAAGAAGAAACAAAAGTTCAACAGAGTTCTTCTTCCTGGTCACTCAACAGGCCGGCGGAAAGTGGGACTTGGCCTTGAGCATCTTGGAGCATGCAAAGGCGCGACCAGGGATTCGGAGCTCGCAATTTGAGGGCGGCGTTCTTGTCCAAAGAAAGACAAATTGCACAAAAAGGCAGTAGAAACCGATCCTGGAATCTTTGAATCATTAACATGTGCGTTGTTTTTTTAATCATGTTTGGATGAAGCATGCGCCACATAGTTGCAGCTGGGTGATGTTTCACCGGACTCCAGGCGATGAACATTGAATTGAACGATGTGGTGTTCAATGCAGCGATCAGCGCATGCGAAAAAGGCACACTAGCATGATGGTAAGAGCTTGGCTGAGCATGTTTACAACTCAAACACACTACTTCTTTGGTATTGCACTGCACTAACTTCCATCTCACTGGTGTTCACAGACAAATTGGAATGTTTTCGGATCGGCTGTGACTTCAACCACCGATGCACGCTTCCATTCCCAGCCGACGCCGAGTGAGCCAAGTATCACCGGTGTCCGATTGCTCAACCGACTGACCTGCCGCTGGCCTGAGAGAGGCGGAAGATGGCCTATGGCGTTGATGCTCCTTGAACAGATGAATTGCTTGACAGTTGAGGCCAGGTGAACAATGAACTCGCTGAGGGTTGTTGGAATATCAGCTATGTGGGTTGCACTAAACGATCACCGTACTGTTTGACCTGCAGCATTCACAACTGCGTTCCCACTCTGCCGAGGCGTCGTTGATTTCCTTCAATGCAGCCATGAGTTCGGGGGCTTCAGTGTCGGGTTTGCGTGCGCTTCTGCATGGCCAACAATCACGCTTGTTTACATGCTTTTACAATGTTTTACATGCATCGTATCTCCCCTCATGAACCTGTATGCAGGCTTACACGAACCTGTATTCGGTTCTATTTGATTGTAGTATGTTTAATTGTTTTTACGCATCGTTCTCCCATCCTCGCTCCGGGACGCCGGAACGCTGGACGTAGAAATGGAATGGATTCCTCCGAGTGTTTGTGGAAGGTGTCAGATACGGTAAATTCTGGACTCAACCAAGCTGGAATTGATGAACAAGTTCCCAACGTGCTATTCCAAATCCATGGCCACAAATGGCCAAGGCTCAGCACACGGCTTCAAGTTTCCATTGAGCCTTTATGAAGCACTTGTGGTTTCACTTGGTTTCCGTCCCAGGTGCTTGTGCACAAGGCGGTCCCTGGTATTTAACATTGGCTCTTTTCGCAACTCGCCTCCAATCAGGGATAGAAGAAGCTGTTCGTCATGTTCGCTCTTGATCCAAGACAAGGCTTGCACCTCTCTTGGATCATTCGCAGAGAACATGCCGTTACACATTCGCAAACGTTCTGCGCGTTCTGTGAGCTCCAACAATCGCTCCCTTGCACGCAGTCATCCTTCCTACCAGGACTGTGCGCTTTTCTCCAATTTGGACCCGGATGAGTTTACGCTGAGCGCAGTTGTGGATGCTTGTGCTCGGTGCGCTTTGACGGCAACTAGTGCACCTGTGTGAGCCGAACTTTCAGTCCACTGGCTTGATCCAACCGTGGTGGTCAGAAGGCCGAGCTGCACTGAGGTCAGCAGTGGCAGCAAGCGATTTCTCTTTTTTGCTTTTCCGAGTGGCTTGGCCAAAGGGGGTAATGATTGACATTCAGCTGAGACTCTGATATCCAAACTCATAGTATGACTGTTTGGTGTGCGTGTGTGGCATTATTATATGTTTGAAAGCAACTTTGCTGAACAAAACACGGGTGCCAAAACTCTGAAGTGCCTTTGATCATTCAGTTATCCCGTTATCCCCAAGTCAAGAAAGGAGCTTGTGGTGGCACCCTTTCTCCACAAGGCCAATGTTTCATGCCATGATCTCACAGCCCTTATCACGTCCAACCAAGGCCTGACCTCACAGCCCTTGCAGCTGTCGCATCAGTGCTTCCGGCGATGCCTTTGGCACACTTGCTTTCACAGCTTGAGCCGAGGGCATTGGCTGCAGTACAAAACAGTGCAAATGGGATGGAGGGACACCGGGCAATTGACTGACAATATCTATATAGATTCTATATAATAATGGCCCCATATGCCTGGATGACTGCAGTTTTGGAGGCCCAGCACTGGACCACCGACAAGGTATTTTGCTTGGTCATCAGTGTTTGCGTTGCGGCTATCATAGCCGTCAGTGTGTTCTTTTTTGACGTTGCTATATACTTGGCCATTGGAAGGGTCCTCCAGATCACATGTAATATGACCTATGGCTGGCCACGTCACTAAGTGACTAAGTGCTGATCAAACTTGGCTGCTTCAAAGTCCAGAGCAAGCAGAGCCTTCACTTTCTGGGCGCCAGGCCCAAGTGCGAAATCAAAGCCAGTCAAACTTCGGAGGAGGCAAAGAACCGGCCCAGACCCCGGTCGCCCAAATTGGCCGTTTGATTGTTCTCTGAGTTTTTCACAGAAATCATTGGCCTTCTCGAGGTTCCACGCTTTCAGGCTCCGAATCGTCCGATGATGCAGGTGCGATGATGCTGTGAGGGTAGATTTGCACGGGGAAACATGGGTACGACATGGTACGACTATTGTCGTAGCGATGCACTTGTTCCTAGTAGCTTCTTGTTACTACTAGTAAGGCACTTGTTCCTAGTAGCGATGCACTTGTTCCTAGTAGCGATGCACTTGTTCCTAGTAGCTTCTTGTTACTACTAGTAAGGCACTTGTTCCTAGTAGCGATGCTCTTGTTCCTAGTAGCTTCTTGTTACTACTAGTAAGGCACTTGTTCCTAGTAGCGATGCACTTGTTC